TACATATCATTAGCGTGTATGTGTTACTTGATATTTGAATTTGCCTTTTTTATTTTTTCAGCTCTGAAAAGTTGATTAAGGGTCAGTGTGGCTAGCTACTCTACCTAGTAGGTTTTTGTGCTGCTGTTTTGTAATTTTGAACAAGAGCTGGACAGTGTGATGCTTTTTGAGTACTTTTCCAAGTGATGTTATTTAGTCTTGTAGGAACCAACATTTCAGGTATTTTAGCAAAGAAATGGAGTTGCATTGTTATGATTTCTTTAGCTTCACTCTCTCTCTGCCGTGTTTCTGTAATCGATGATTTCTCAAGAATCTGCAAATCAACAGGCAACCATTTTTCCCCAGTCAAGTAACTGCTGCCTTTGCTAGGAAAATTCCTGTTGCCCAGGAGCTTTTAGACAACTAAAAACGCTGTGCAAAAAGAGCAAAATGTAATTACTTTTGTTGAACAATATGTTGACCTAAACTTAACAATTAACTGAACAGCGTGTTTCACTGCAGGCTGCACATGAGAAGGTACTTCCCTCTGCTGCTTATTCATAAATCTTGCTGATTAGCAAAACCTTTCATTTTGCCCATTGCTTTACTGAATTCCTCCTGTTTCTCTGTGCATTCCCATTTGGATCCCATGTCATGCTTCGGACTTGTTCGTGTTGTTCTTCTGGCAGCACAATGCAGACGCACAGTGGAATGGAAATCAAAGCAAGAGCTGCTTTTGCTTTGTCCAAAGGCATGTGTCTGCAAGCCTGTTCTGAGTTTCCTCTCCTGCTTGAATCTGGTGGGATGGTGAGACATGTAAACAGCAGGCATTCTCTCCCATCGGTGCATGGACCAAGGTTTTGGTTGAAGGCAGTAATTCATGTTTTTATTGCCTTTCACCGGAGGCCTTAAAGCTTGAGCAAATGTGGAAGGTTCTTCTGCTTTCATAGATGGTAAAATAGCTTGGTGCACTGTGCTCTGCTGGGGTAAGTGGGGAGGAAAACCTGGGTCCTTTATTATTAGTTAGATAATCTGTTCTTATTTGAGCCATCAGGACTGTTTTATCTAATTAGATATACACTTAAGATAAAAAAATTCTTCCAGAACACTGGATGTTATCTATTGGAAGGGTTAGAAAAATCAAACCTGTTGTTTATTTTAAAAACTGGATGCCTCCCAACTCCCTTCCCTCTCTTTCTTTTTTCTTCCTCCCTGTCACCCTACTGTCATTACATTACTGTTTAATTTTTCATAGCCCATATATAATACCACCACTTAGGACAGGAATGGGAAACTACTGCACTATATCCTCTGCTTCAGTGCAGTTTAGTCAGGTAAAATACAAGTCACCCAAGCAGCAGCTTTCTTAGTAGCTAAAGGTATTTGTAATTTGATGTTCACAGTGCTGTTAAAGAATGATTGCTAGAAGGAGTTTGTATGCAAGTTTCCATATAATTTAAAGCCTTGTGCTACATGAAGAAACGTAGGGGAGAGCGTGGGATCTGACAGTGAGGTTTTTTCCATGCTCCCTCTGTTATGGACTAAAATCACTCTAAGGAGCTGCTGACCTGGGAAAGTATCAGTAGGCTTCCCAAGTGAGCATTTATTTTGCTGCTCCTGTCCCTTCTGTCATGGTTTAACCCCATCTGGCAATTAAGCACCACGCAGCTGCTCGCTCACTCCCCCCCTCCTGATGCAGTGGGATGGGGAGAGAATTGGGGAAAAAAGAGTAAAAGTTGTGGGTTGAGATAAAGACACTGTAATAGGACAGAGAAGGAAGGTAAAATACTACTACTACTAATAATGAGAATAGACAAAACAAGTGATGCACAATACAGTCGCTCACCACCCACTGACCAGTGCCCAGCCAGTCCCTGAGCCATGGTGTCCCCTGGCCAACTCACCCCGGTTTATAGGCTGGGCATGATGTAATATGGTATGGAACATTCCTTTGGCTCGTTTGGGCCAGCTGTCCTGGCTGTGTCCTCTCCCAGTTTCTTGTGCACTCCCAGCCACTGCTGGCTGGGCAGCATGAAAAGCTGAGAAGTCCTTGACTTAGTATAAACACTGCTTAGCAACAACTAAACCATCAGTGTGTTATCAACATTATTTTCATCCTAAATCCAAAACAGAGCTCTATACCAGCTACTAAGAAGAAATTAACTTTATTCTAGACAAAACCAGGACAGCTTCTTTCTACCTACTGCAGACTCTGCTGCAATGAGAACACAAGGACTGAATAATTTAGGCCTGATGTGTGATACCACACAATAAAATGGTTTAGCGCAGTACAGGCTTTGCATAAACTAATGTAGGTGTAGTGTCTAGGGTACATAAAACATACAAAAGGTCTGGGCTGAGAGGTAAGAATGATTGGAAAACACCAAAACTACAGCACAACTTTCCTAATCTCTATGTATTTTTCTACTCTGTCCCATGGAGCATCTATATTCTCAGAGCTGTAAATGGTACGGTACAAGGCATCTCTGTTTCTGCTTACAGGGCTTTTTTTCCTTTGTTGTGTCCATTTTTATGAACTTGATTTCAGATGAGGTATCATAGAATCATAGAGTATCTCAAGCTGGAAGGGCCCCATAAGGATCGTCAACCCCCACTCCCTGTTCCTCTTAGGACTACCTAAAGCTAAACCGTATGACTGAGAGTGTCGTCCAGATGCTCCTTGAACTCTGACAGGCTTGGTGCCGTGACCACTGCCCTGGGGAGCCTGTTCCAGTGACTGACCACCCTCTCAGTGAAGAACCTTTTCCTAATGTCCAGTCTGAACTTCCCCTGATGCAGCTTCATTCCATCTCCATGTATCTTCTAGAGGAACTGAATTCCATGGCACCATTTGGTGTTTGGTATGAAAGGGTGTCCTCTTTATATAACACAATGACAAATGTGAATATGAAGCCCTGATTAGTTCAATTTAATACACTGGGTTTGCACCATTGTAGTGAAATATATTGTAGCAGTAGGAGATGATTAAATGCCAGAAGAAAGCATAGTTAAATTATGTAAGTTATTTTTCAGTTACTTTGAAGTTAACCTTTATTTTTTCCTGCAAATGATTTGTTTAAACATGGATAGTCTCTGTTAATAAAGCTGTAGCGATACTTCTTGGCACTGCAGATGTGGGAATATGATATGTGCATAGATGCACATAAAATGTTGTGGTCAAAGTTTAGTTTTACTTACAGAAGGTTTTTAACAAGTACAGCGTACAAATTTGAAAAGATTTGCTGAGACTGCATTCTGGGCATTTCTTTTCTTAATTCATATAACCACTTCCAGTATGCAGTTATCTGGATATCATTAATTATCTGAATATCTGAGACTCATTAGGTCCAGATTGCAGAAGGCATGTTAGTTATGCATGCTCCATCTGTTTAGCTGATTTAAAAATAAAAAGTACCTACTCCACGATACAGGTTACAAATCTTTAAGAATGCAATTAACGTTCCTAACCAATACAGAAGAGATTATGCAGCTTGGTTAATGCATTATCCAGGCTGACTGACTTATGAAGTTGGTTTAAAAACTGGTGACTTTAATAAATGATTTTCTAGCATATGCTCCTTGTAAGATATTGCCAGGAACAGAATAGAAAGGAATCTCTGTAAATAGGAACTGAAATAAAGTGCAAGAATAACATGCTCTAAGTCACCAGGAAAGGAAAAACAGACTTTGAGGACTGTGGTGAGCAAAGAGGAGAATGGGAAGCTGTGATGTTTTCTCTTTGATGTGGAATATCTATTTGCAGGTTTTCTGATGAGATATAAGCTAGCCAAGTACAGTGGTAAGGCAGTGTCATGCTCCTCTGAGCTGTGTTTAAGAAGGGAGCATGACAGACATGTGGTGGAACTGTAGCCCTGATTTTTCATCCTGCTGTCTGAACTAGTGGACAGAACTTCTAATATTACGTGATACCCTGTACGCTAAATTTTGCCAAAAAAGCCAAGAACGTTTATTGAAGGTAATAGCCTGTGACCCCTGAGCCGCAGGCTCAGAAACAGTTTCATTTATTTAACTTCATTACATTCTTGGTTTGATGTCAGACTGTAAATCTGCACAGTTGTCTTGTGTATTAATACAAACAAATGGATATACATCAAATTTTTCTATAATCAGATGTAAAGAACAACTTTGTATTTTCTTCTATTAGCAATGAAAATTATAAGGAGGTATATGTAATGAAGCCCTCGAAGCAATAGATATTTTCTGCACAATGCATATGGTTAACATGCAATACAAAGGACAACTACCTCTGTATAATGCAGATTTCTTTTATCCTGCAGTGCATTGTTGAGATGTTTGTCCGTAGGGGCAGCACCTTCCCTTGAGCATATCAGTGTTGCAGTGGTTAAGGATTTTGTAGTGAGGGCCATGGTTTTAAATACTTCACCTCACAGACTCATAGGATCGTTTACGTGGGAAAAGACCTTTCAGATCATCAAGTCCAACCATAAACCTAACACTGCCAAGTCCATCACTAAACCATGTCCCGAAATGCCAAATCTACACATCTTTTAAATACCCCCAGGGATGGTGACTCCACCACTTCCCTGGGTAGCCTGTTCCAGTGCTTGATAACCCTTTCAGTGAAGAAATTTTTTCTAATGTCTAGTCTAAACCTCCCTTGGCACAATTTGAGGCTGTTTCCTCTTGTCCTATCGCTTGTTACTTGGGAAAAGAGACTGACACCCATGTCGCTATAACATCCTTTCATGACAGCATTGACCCTATTCTTGCTCTCTGGAAAGCTTTTCTAACTCTGGTAACTTGAATTTTGCAAAACAGTAGCCATTTATTTAGATTTATTTATTTAGATTATGCATTCTTTTGCTTCCTATCCAACACTCCTTTTACAAGGTAGCTAAGTGCTCTTAATCAGAGGTGAGGATAGATGGGCAGCAAATAAAATGTTGCGTCTAACACAATTGATACAGTACTTTAGAATAACAGACACTGCGGAAGTATCAGAGTGAAATGTTACTAAAGGTGTATCTTTTAAACTTTAGGCTGGGCGATGCAGGTTGCTGCCTTTGTTTTCATTCAGAGAAAGTGGGAAGATGACAAGAGTCACTTTGAAAAAATGCTGGATTATTTCTGTGACATTCGTGAACCATTACAACTCCTCATCTTTCCAGAAGGAACTGATCTCACAGGTAGGCTGTGTTTGTCGTGTCTTAGAATGTTCAACGTTGAAATTCTTTGTTGTTTATGGAAATAGTTAAAAAAAAAAAAAAAAAAAAGTCCAAGGCAGGAACAAGCCTGGGTTCTCATGGACAGTAGAAATTATAGTAAATGATCATATGTACTGATTCATTTGAGAGGCACAAATGTAGTTCCACTGAGACGCTTTGCCATTCTTCCTGAAATAACTTACATTTCAAAGCATCCGATGATTGAAATGGCTTTATATTGGCCAGCACTGTATGTACATTGCATTAGCAAAAGTAGGTTTCAAGACCTGGAATAAATCACTTGCATGTCCCATTTCCCATATTACTGTGGCAAATAGTGCAAAATCATTTAAGACCTATGGAAGAGTGATTGAAGAGAAGAACTAATGATTCTATTAGATTTCTTGCCTAATGTTTTAAGAGGAGAAAATGGAGATACTTGTTCCTTAGGCCATGTGTAAGCAGTCTGTATCTACCTCTATAAGAAAAATACCTCCCTAACACAAGTGTTGACTTTATCATAAGAGTAAATTTAATGAGTTTGATCCTGTAGTATTAATTCTTAATAAAATATCTACTTTAATACAGGTATCTTATGGCATTAGAAGCAAGTTGCTAACAAGTATTGAAGACGACTCAATTGCCAATAAAAGAAAACATTATATGAATGTACTGTGAAGGTTCATGCCTGCAGCATGATTTGATAAGCATCATCTTTGAATAGAAAATCAATTACAATTAAACTTCTACCTTTTAGCTTATTTAAAAGACTTTTACTATACTTTGCATTGCAGGTATTCTCAAATCGTATTTTATTGCAATGCCAGATCAGTGAGTACTAGACACAGTATAAAAATAACTAACATATACTGCTATTTTTTTCTTCTGTATTCCCGATATCATTAAAAATGTGTACGTATAGTATTCAAATGCTATCACGCTGTAGGGAATTGTCATCACTTGATCAGCCTTCCTGAAAGAGGATAAATTCATCATACATTCTTGGGCTGCTTCATGTGATAGCTCTTGTTGAATAGTTATTTTCTATCTAAAATTAGGAAGAAGGATGGAAATTATCTCACTTAAAATTTTTTTTTTTCTTCAAATTAATGAACAACTCTCCCCTCCTACGTCTGAATTATGAGATGAAATCTTAATCTTATTCATGGAGTCAGGAGATTCCTCCTTGGGTCACTCATACTCTTTCTGAGGTGTTTCCATCTCAAGATGATTGAAAGAATTGGATGGATTGTAATTTATTCCATAAATTATGTATACCTTCTAATCCCTCCCAATATTCCTTAGAGACAACAGATTTTAAAGAACTGAGGAAGTTTCATACTACAGTTTAAAAAAAAAAAAAAAAAGAATTAGGCGAGGACTGAGCAGCTGTGGTGTGTTAACACTTGTGCTGTGGAGTCCCAAAGCCAGTGGTGGGGATGCTCCCACCTGAATCTGAAGCTGCTTAAGGAAACACAGGGTTTTCTGTCCACTGTTGTAACTGATAGAAATGACTTAGACAAATCTAAGTTTATGCTGTTTATACCATCCACTGAGAAATTCATGCAGACAAGATTCTTCACTTAATATTAACAAATTCTCTAATTGGGTTTCTGAACACAGATTTTTTCCTTTTTTATTTTTAAGGTATTTCTGTTGTTTCGGTTTTCCCTCCTTATACGTGTGTAACACGTACTCTTTAACTTTGCAGTGTCAAATGGATATCCGCACTAACTGCGCTGTTCTTCTGAAGCCACCGCAGATGGGTGGTGATCGTTTCCCCCCCCGGTTTGTTGAGCAGCCCAGGGAGGAAGCAGTGCGGTGGGAAGGATGGAGTGATGGGCAGGGAAGATGACAGGGTGCTGCTTCCTTGGGCAGCTGTGCTGGCTTCTGACATGTTAAACTGTCCGGTGTTTAGCACTCTATCCTGCCATCTGTAATGAACGCCACCTTGATATTATATTTGTGCGTAGTAAGATGTATAGAGACAGGCAAAACTGTGGGCCTTTTTCAGTGAAAGTAAATAGCTCTTCCTATCTAACTGTCTTCACAGGAAACATTAGCTCATATATTTTAAAATATTATAGGAAACAGGGCAAAATCCCTTGACAGGCTAATCCTGACCAAGCAATAATTTTATGCCATGTGAGAATGATAGAACGTAATAATGTATTTTGTGTAACATTTTGAAAAAAAAGATTTTCAGAAAATTGTTATGTTATTGACATATTAGGACCTATTGCAACCTCATGTTCCATCTTTTAGAATAAGAAATAAACTGCAGTTTTGTTCTGAATGGTCGCTCAATATTCTAGGGGACGTTTTGCAAAAGCAGAGGCAATGGCTCTTGTTTTCTGACCAAATTCCAAAACTGCTAATTACTTCTGAAAACAAAATCCACAGCAAAAGTTGTAGTGAACGATCATATGTACTGATTCATTTGAAATAAAATATGAAAAATAACGTTCTACATGTACTTCACTGAAAAGCGGAATTGCTGTGTGGCTCTGTGCTACTATCATTTTTTTATGCTCTCAGTGGCTGCATGACAATGGTAGATGTACTCTTCTTTATAAGAAATTGTATCATGTTTTCAGGTATTTGAGAATGAAAGATTTCAAAGAAATTTAAAGTATGACTGTATTTATACACGGGCCACTGCCTGACTTCAAGTTGGGAAAGTACTGTGCGGTGGAAGATGCTACGTAAATAAATGTTAGAAATAGTAATGTCATGAACACTGAACAATGTATTTGCAGACTGGATGTATAGGGTCTGAGGTAATAATTATATACTTATTTCTGATAGGTTGGTCATCTTTTCACTCTGGAGTACTTCAAGGTTAAAGCTAAGTGCATCAAAGGTATTTTATTGTAATTGCTTAAAAAGAAGCCCTCAGCAGATAAACATATAGCCAGACTTTCTGAAGCCCTGAAGAAAACAAAGCAACTATAAGCCTAGTGCTTCTGGAAAGCTGGAATACAACCCACCATTTTGCTTGTTCTTTTGTTTTCCTTGGTGTTCCTTATGAGATTCTTTGTAGTGATTCTTCAGAAAGCAATAACAAAAAAAAAAAGTTGCTGTATTGCTCTGCGCCTGTTAAAGCCTCATTTCCTATGGATTTGTGTCTGCATCCCTATACGTGGTCTCTTCTTCACTCCAACTTCTCCTTTTTCCTTGTGTTTCCTTCCGTGTGACATTTCCTCCACAAATCTCTTGCTGCTCTCTTGGCAAGAGGCATCGTGTGCTGTGGCTCATCCTCACCGATACCTGCGTTAACCGACGGACCGCTGCATGCTGTGCTGAAAGCCTTGACAGACTAAAGACCCATGGAGCCTGCCCTGGCTTTTCCTGTTATTAAGATCTCTACTGCTGGAGGCTTCCCTTTACTCAGCCATTGGTTTTTCTGAAATTCCTGTGGGGCTTAATTATCTTTGAATCTCTTGTCTCTGTCAAACTTTGTTTGCAGGTGGCAATAGCTTCAAAAGTTAAGGGGAACAGGTGGACAGAGTGTGATTGCACAGACCTTTTTTCCTTGAGGAACAGCTAAAAAACAAGTAGGAAAGCTTGCTAGAGCCCAGATTTTGGCAGGAATGTTGTGGTGTGGATCACATACAATATTCCATCTAGAAGGTAACAATGAACTGCAGCTGGATTTTTCACTTTTCTAGTAAACGTGGTATACTTTGGTAATGCAAGAAAATATTGTTCAAAAGCTCTGATAGAGGTTGATTTAACATGTAATAGTCTGAAAATAGCACAAATAAGAACAATTGCTCAACTTTTTCTTAAAATATTACCTGTGAGCAAATATAGCTTTTATGCTTTCTATGCAAACCTCTAATAGATAAATGAGGAATTTTTTTTTAAATTTTTTTTTTAAAGAGCAACTTTTGGAGTACTCATGTATTCTTTTGCTGTCTGGTACCAATATTGTTTGAGAGTACTTGAAGTCATAGAAGTGCATGCTTTTATCACAAGTCAGATTAAAGGAAAAGGTAGTGCTTAATATTCAACTTTCAGTGCACTAGTACTAGCAAAAAAAAAAAAAAAGGTAGTTGAAAGTTGATCAGAAATTGTTGTATTAAAGTTGTCAGAATCAGCTTTCCAGTAGGATGATGAGGGAAGTCTATAATTCTTTTGGGTGACATCCAGCAAAACACATCAACCTGGACAACGTTGAATCTGTAAAAGCATGTGAGCTTGTTTGAGAGGAGCCAATACTGCGTACATATTTCATGGGGAGCACAGACTTAGCTTTTCGTTGGGTACAGGTCTTGGAGTTTTAGTTCCAAATACTCTTCAGACTCACACAAATGCAACTTGTTACTGCATTATGGCTTTCATCAAAGTAAAATTCTAGAGATTTTTTTTTTAATTCAAAACTAGCTCACAATTAAAAATATAATTTGACTTTTAAAAAAAATTAATTTGTTCACTTTATCCTCTGGTTTTCAGAAGCAAAAGCAATTTAACTTCTTAAAAATCTGTAACTCAAAAATCAAGAAAATGTGTTAGCATAATTTCTTCTTCCAGTTACTTTAAATGAAATTTTGAAGTGTGGTGCTTTTAGAACGTGCTGACTTTGAGCTTTTCCAGTAATTTAAAAATGTGATAAATGGGAATTTGCCCACATAATTTTGAGATAAATGGGAAAAAATGTAATCAAATTATGTACCAAAGGCAGCACAAGAGAAAAAAAAAAAAAAGAGGTTATGGCCAGAACTCTTAAATTCTTGTTCTTCTGTGTAGTTTGACAACGGGTCTGGAGTAGTGTCTAAAGACTCAAATTGGAGTCCTTTTACTTGTCACCACCCCAAAGAACATACCCTCTGAGAGGCAGCATGTGTTAGCTGAAGGAGACAGGGGAGGAGAGGCAAGTCACTGTGAGACCAGAGGAGACGGAGCATGAAGCAGTTCTGGATCAGGAAGGGTCCCATATCACCCTCTATTAATAAACTAGCTGCTTTCCATAAAAATAGATTATTCTACTTATTCTTTTTTATCATAGGAGCAAATAGAGCCAAGGAATTAAAATGCAAAATACACCTAATAGGAATGCTGAGAAATAGGAATGCTGTAGATTTACTTTGGCTTACAGTGTAAGAAAGAAAATACTTGTTTCTAGAAAGCAATGCTTACTCACAGTTTTCAGAGAGAGTAAGCAAGAGGGGGCATTACCCTTAGCCAAATGGTGTGAGTGATGTTCTGGGACTGAGGAGACCCAAACTGAGTTCATTTCCAGTTCCTCCTTCAAGAGCTGCTTTATGCAATTTGTGTTGGTTGGAAGCAAAGAAGAGAACATATGTTCCCTCTTTTTAAGGAAGTGTTTTCACTATCAGGCTTACAAAGGCATCTTTCACTTTTTTTATTCTTTCACCTAAGAATGTTATAATCTGGACTGCAGAATGATGAGGTATCTGCATAAGTTTTGCAGCGCTGATAGTATAGCCTGTTCAATTGATTAAGGGATTTTTAAAAGGTGTTTGTTGCATGAATTCCCTCAGGTTGGAGAGGATATAAAAATGGGTTTCAAATTTCCTGGATCAGTTTTCTGATCCCTAGGTTTCATATAATGGGGAACACCCCATATTCTGCTTTTTGTTGAATCCAGTTCTGAGCAGGAGAATTGCGCTCTCTTTCCCCCAGAAGGTTTAGGCACAGGTGTCTCGCACAGGGGTCCCAAACAGCAGTAGTCACCAAGGTGCTTACATCGGATAGGGTGGCAGTCAGTGCATTTGCTAATAAGTAATAGAGTAAGAAACTGTTTTCTTCAAATGCTGAGAGTAGCAGGAGGGCGACAAGGGCATTATTCTTACTTTTTGGTAGAGTGAAGGCATATCCTACCCTTGCTTTCAGGATAGCATCAAAACCCTTTGGCCTTCCTGACTTGTTGTAATATATGTTTTTCAATGCACGAAGACCTGTGCCTTGGTAGCTGTTAGGAAAAGAAGAGGGAGATGATTTTTCCAGATGACAACAATCATTGTATTAGCTGGAAGCGTTATTCTAGTTCTAAAATCCCATTACACTAGGGTCATGCAAAAGGGGTAGGTAACAATCTCTGTTACATAAAACTTACAATCCAGAGGCAAGACAGGGATACAAATATCAGGAAATAGCTGAATCGTGTTGGCTGGTGTGCCAATGTCCAGCTGTTCACATTTTTTAGGAAGGCATTGTAATAAAAGGAAACTAGGAAGATGTTTTGCAGATGTTTACAGTGAGTTCTTTCCAAGTGCAGGGATGTGCACTAAGAGGAGGTTTGAAGATGATTACTTCAAAGCAATGGGCATTGGAGGTCCCAAACCTTTTTTGCTGCATCAGTTAGGTCTTGCTCAGAAAACAAAACTGCCCATTTACTCTTTGGTTTTCCTGCAGTGCAAGTAGGAGTGTTTTGCAAACACCAAGGGATTTGTTTTTATGGGCCCTCTGAAACAGAGTGCTAGCGAGCAGACATACAGAGAGGGTTTTTCTCAGTGCTCATTAACTGTGTGCAGTTTGAGATGCTTAAGACAGATTTATTTTTTTTTTAGACTGCTTAACTTTATGTAGACTTATATGGCACTTGTGTCTCAAAGCTTTGATTGACTTGATTTGCAGAATGCAAATGTTCCACAGTGAAACCCAAACTTGGGTATGTAGAAAATGAAAAAGATACTTCTGTCCTTTGGAAGAAAAAATACATTAGCTTAAAAATATTGTGATAAATTAATTTAAAACATTTTGCTTGAATCACCACAGAATCTGGAAAAGAACTCTTGAGTTGTATAGTTTTTATAGGAGTGCTCTTGGTGGTCAATGTCCCTTCTTAGAAAATAGAGAGTTTAAGTGGTTGAGCTAGTAGTGCAATACAGTTATGTCTAAGAGGTAGAATCTGGCTTTTCAGAGGAGCATTTAATAATTACCAGATTAGGCTTGCCTCTTCTGCCATTCCAAGTCTTGCTCGTGACTCACTTTGCGAGTTTTGCCATCGCAGAGGTAGGAGTCCTAAAGGCAAGTTCCCTTCTCTGATTCAGAATACTCCGTTTTCAACATTGAATGGGGTAGTAGTCGAGCAGACAAAAATAGATACTCTGATCATGTGCTTAAAGACATAATGCACATGTCCAAGGAAAGATAAATTTAAGTTACATAGCCAAGTGTAATTTTAGTATTTCACACATTCTGTAATTTTAGCAACACTTTTTGAAGATGTAATATTTTCAAGTATTTGTATGTTTTGGCAACTTGGCAAGAATTAAATCTTTGGATTCTCTTTGCTGAATCACTTGCTTGGCTACTGTGCAACAGTTGTCCTTTCCTCCAAATCACACGGTCAGGAAATCTGTGCACTAAGCCTTAAGGGTTGTATGTATTAAAAGCAATACTCTTATGCATGGAAACAGTAGTTCACAGGGAAAAGATACTCAGTATACTGATATGCTACAGCATTTATTAATAGGTAGATAGTCCTTTAGGAGGAACAGCCACATTTTTTGATAAAGAAAGAGCTCATGTAATTTAGGAAAAAAAGAAGGATGCAGGAAAGTTGCATTACTGCAAAAAGGACATCTCGCACTACTGTTGATTTGTCCACTTGTGCTGCTGTTCCTTTACAGGAAAAATTACGATGATTGTAAGGGAAAGAACTTACCTATAAGTATCAATTAAATTATTAAGCAGCAATATGTTTTTCATTACTTCATCTCCCATCTGTTAAGGTTAACTGTGGACACTTAAAAAAAGAGCTGTTTCTGCTTGATAAAGATGATATATTGCTTCGGCAATGATTTTGTCTTTTAAAACACCTGTAAGACTATATAAATGTGAGTTATTAAAGAAGTTAGTTGATCAAATTGATTTTTTTTTTTTTTCCCCCGTGTTGCCAAGGGAACATTGCATGTGTCCATTGCCTTTTGGCCACAGAGGAGGCACAGCAGTACCCACAGTGAAGGAGTAAGCGTAGCCAGCAAAGTGCGTTTGGCTCCTAATTGAGGCTGCTTGGAAGAGCCTCCTGCACCTCACTGGAGAACAAGTTGCTTCCTCTCTGCCCGTCTTCAGAAGTTTTCACTTTAGTGTCCGCGTCTTCCTCACTTAGTGGGCTCTGCTAGCAACTGGCTCTGAAAAGCCTTTGTTCGGTTTTCTCGTGAGAGACTTCTTTTTGCCAGAGGTTCGAAACATATTTGTCACGGGGTTTAGCCACGCTGCTTTCCAGATGCCTTGCGTGTACTGTGTGTACAGTAGCAAGCACGTGTTGTAACACTGAGGCAGTTGGTCAAAAAAATTAAAACAGGGTATGTATGTGCAGCACAGGTTGATGAATAAAGGTGTCAAGTTCAGAATGAAGATGTAAAATACCATTTTAATGTGTTAGATTAACTGGTTTCCTCCATTTAATGTTTTCTTTCCAAAATAAGTTTAATGTGGTTAAACATTGACCTCAAAGTATTTCTGCATGTAATATCAAACCTGCATTAATAAACATTGTGCCTTTTGAGTTTAAAAAAAAAAAATTGAGCCAATTAACACATTTTACTGTAAAATGGGTGTTGAAGTGTACACAGAAATATTAACAGACTTTAATTAATAGATTTCAGATTGCATTTGATAAACATGCAAGATTCACTGATTATTTTCTGAAATGAAATGAGAGGGTAAAAAGGCTTTCCTTGCAATCCACATTGGTCTTCCTCATACCATACTATAGCCAACTGAAAGCACACTTGCAGTCTGCCTTCACCCGAAAAGCTGTTGCACATTTGTACTGTGTGAACTGCTGTTGTACTGTGCCTGTCGTATAATAATTATATTTAATTCTTGGTCTACATGCACAGTAATAGAAAGTGGTGCTTTTTATTCTCTCCTTCAGCCAATACCAAAGCCCGCAGTAACGAATTCGCTGAAAAGAACGGACTTCAAAAATACGAGTACGTCTTACATCCGCGAACTACTGGATTCACTTTTGTGGTTGAGCGTCTAAGGGAAGGTAATTCTGCTCTGTATTTTATATGTTCTTTTTCTTCCTTTAAGATAACGAATCTCACCCAAGCTGTAGAAGCTGATGTTCACAAAACTACTTGAAGTAATTTCAGAAAAACTTCATGTATCCTGATCACAAAAAAAGCCCTTGTTTGCAACCCTACTTAAAATGATTGTAACATGGAGAGATTTGAGAGAGTTAGTAACAGATACTAACATCATCAGGAGATATGCAGTGGATGAAAACAACATTTTTGCCTTTTTTTTTTTAAATATTGTAGCTTGTTTAGCAGTCTATCTCAGAAAAATAGTGGAAAAGATCCCAAGGAAGTTCATCCTTATTGTCTGTACCAGTCCTTAACCCGAACTGGGTGGTTGACACTGAACACACAGACATGTATAACACTGCCCTCTCTGAAAAGCTTCTGGTTTTAACTCTGAGAGCTGAGACAACAAGTTGCTATGTTAAATGGACAAGGGGAATGCACAGCTGCATGTAGATGCAGCAAGTCAGCTGCCCAGTGCTGCCAGCTTTTTCAGGTGATGGTGACTTGGAGAAGCTGCCTAAAATCGGAGTTGTGCTGCTTGGCTGAGTAGTGGGTAAGAGAATGCATGATGCTTGCTTTTTACCTAGAAATGGTCTTCCATCCCTTTATTAATCTGGGGGTAGAGATAGAGTCCCTATTATCAGGGGAACAGAGTACAAAGATGTGATTGCTTGTTAGATCGAGATGCCTGTGGGTTGTTTTGGGAGTGGGCATTTCAATGAGATTTGAGGCCATAATGGTGTAACCATTAAATGATACTGATGTGGCAGTGATTAAAATACAGATGAGTGAATGTTTGAGGATATATGAATGTATGGTTGAAGAAAATAAACATGTACAGTAGATATGAAGTGACTTATTTATAGGCTAGTTCTTCAGGGAAAAGCAATTCTAGATCTTTAACATATGCTGGTTATTCTGACTGCCAAAGGAAGAAGTTTGAGATTATTAAAAAGAATAAGGACCTGCTGGTAGGTTTTTTCCCTTGCTGGAATCCTTGAATCCTTGCTTGGATTTTAGGAGCAGAGCTGCCTTGCGTATTGCCCGATTCCTACTAAGCAGATATCCTGAGATCGCTGTAAATGCTTTGATATTTTGTCCAGCTGGACGACCCTAGCTGGACCATATATCTATTTGACCCTATTTTTATTGGACATTCAGTGGTGGACATCTTAGATTTTCATCGATCTTGAATGTTTATTACTCCATTTGCTGTGGTGAAAAAAAATTGCCACATATGCAATTTCAAAAGCTTGTTTTACTTAAAACTTTTCAGCACTAGGTTAACCTAGTGCATAACAATATTTCTAGCCTGGAATAAATTTTCAGTTAAAGGAATGTTTTCCACTTGAAATATTATCAAGTTAAAAAAAAAAAAAGGTTCTGTATTTGCTGCAGAAATGAGCTTTGTGGTTATACAGTCATTTTCTAATTTTATAAAAATGCTTTTCTGTTGCTGTATGAGAGATCTATGCAAATTAGGCTACTGGGTTATAAAAAGGAAAATATTTCAGGCTGATTAACTGATTTTATGCAGTACAAAGCTGGGGAAAAACCCGAAAACATTCCTAGGTGATTTTTGTGTCCAGTCTTTTAAATGCTTTTAAGTCCTACTTTTATTTAAGGCAGGCAAATATTGAGTGAAATGTTAATGTCCCTGTAGCATTGAATTTACTAGGTATTGTGTACCTTGATAGGCATTGAGGTATACATATTATGACTGTGTGCTATTATGTAGTAAATTATGTGTGAGAAGGTAGTTCAAGTAGCATTTTAAAATACTTATTACTTACTAATTTAAGAATTGGTTTTCTGTTGTTTGCAAGTGCACCACATACGGACCATTTGTGTTGAAATATTTTATTTTTATGGACAACCTAACTGTAGTTGCTTGACTTTAAAACACTTCAGTATATTATATACCTGCATACATATTTTTTCATCTGTATAATATAGATGTCCAGGTAGATTTTCAGATACAGATGGGACAGTTGGTACCTAGTGCTATTGTGCAGCTCTGGTTTGACTTATTACTTATACTGTTAGAATGCCTTTTTCACAATTCTAGTTTCTGATATTAGCAGTAATAAAGAAAACCAGGATTGTTAAAGATATGGTGTTAACATGAGTCCCTGTTTCTGGACTGTCCTAATGCTACGGTAGTAGCAATAATCATAAAAATATACTTGTTTCCTTTTTTCCTGCTCATAACTGCAAGCACAAAGCAGTGTGTGTGACTTTAACGTGCAGGAGGGAGTGGTGGAGATTTTAACATCATGTTTACGTCTTTGAAAGTATTTTTGTGCATAGATGACAACCTTATTGCCCTATAGCTCTCCTGTGAATACATTTTGGCTCGTGGCTGTTTTCCATTCCTGAGGCTCAAGTGTCTTTACTTCAGGCCTGAGTACATTATTTTGCTCCAAAAATAGGTTGATGAAGAGAGAGGGAAAATGTCATTAGAAGTTTAACTGCTTTTCAAATGTTGAAAAAGCTAATTTAATTTGGCAAGAACCCTGATTAATATGCATCACAATCTGTAGCATGAAAGAATTACCTGTTATTACATAAAAATAACTATTAGCCACCCTTCTGAATAGGAAGTGCAGAATCAGGAAAAAATAACCTTCAGTAAAATGTTTCCTGTATCTCTGCAGGAGAGTTTCTTCCTAGAGGAAGCACTATCTGGACCCTGACAGCATAATCCAAGCAGTTGTCAGTCCTTTGCTTTCCATAGGTGGCAAAAATTTCTGAACCATGTGACTGGATTTTTGCCCGTGATGACCAACGCTCAAATTCCTCTGGCTGCCTTTTTGCTCTTATATGGTCATTTTTTTCTAACTATTTGATCTCTTTTGCCTGTAGATGCTGCTATGGTGGGTTTCTAAGTCGTTGCTGAGATTATGGGAGCTAAGGAAAAAAAAAAAATCTGTATAACCTCCACCAAAAAATCAATTAAAATTGTTTAGGTAATACATCTCCTTGGCTTTTGAGTCTCTTACCTTTTTTTCCCCACATTCTAGCTCTTCATGAGTGATAGCTCTTACCCCCTGAGCTGACTCTTCTAAACAGAAACCCAGGTAGAAGCTGACTAGTTTTTTGTTTCATTATGCTCAGGTGCCAAGACAGTGAAAATATTCTTTTACTTGTAAATGATCACATTACTGTTTTCTCATTCATATAAACCTTAGAATCACCCAAGAGTAAACACAGACTGAACATGCTTTAGATGTATAATTAATAATATACTCAGGAGAATAAGGACTGCAGTTGTTGCTGTTTTTTAAGCAAGACATAAATTTGATTCAGCATTGATTTTTGGAAAGGCGTGTTCCTCTAGCTCAATAATAATTTTAATATAATGTCGTTTGTGCATGGTAAGAGAAAATACAGTATAGACGTGAGAACACAAAGAGGAAAAGACCCCATGGTAGCTGGATTAGGTCAGCTTGCTACCTGATATGCAATATAGGGCATTACCTGAAGATGTGTAAGTGAGTAAGAGAGGAACAAAAATTTCAGTAAGGACTAATGAAGATAGAAAAGTGTTAAATATTCTTAGGTTAAATATAGGTTAACAAAATTTATGCATTTTTCACCCCTGCAAGAAGATCAACCTTCCTGGGAATGATTATTGAATTTCTAGTCAATTGTGACAGTCATTGCAACAGATAAAGCAGGTTTGTGAGATTCTTCGTTAATCTTTAGTGATGCACGTTACTAAAAATAGCACTAGCCTTTTTTCCTAGCATGCTTTAAAGTTTGCATCTGCAAACTCTTTGGCCTTAGTCTATTAAAATATTTCAAGTGTATGAGCTCAATTAATTATACATTTTTCTCAGTGCTGAAGCACATTTGATTGCTTTGATCACTTATCATGGCAGCCAGAGGAATTGCCCTGTGGAAGACCAAACCTGTGTTGACCAAAGTGACCACTGCAATCCCAAGTACTATCGCATCTGGTTAGCTGGCTATCAATGGAAAGCAAAGAGAAATTAGAGTTGATTTGCTTCTTTCTAATTCTCTTCACTTGATCATCTGTATTATTTGTCTTGCCTCAGCTGTTATGAATCCTGGTTTCAGTCAGCACCTGGTGCAAAATGACTAGAGCTTTATGCTGTATTTCTTTAGGGAACAAAGGTGAGCATTTTTTGAAAGAGCCAGAACACGTGAATGAGTGACAGAAAGTGAACTCTAGACAAAATGAAGATTGGTCATGACTTTTTTGTTTTAACTCATCATCGTATACCTCTCTTTAACTGTCTCCTAAAGTCATATTTAATCCTTTTTTTAAAGCCTGAAACTTTGAATAAGTTACATATGGAGTCACTTTTGGCAGAACTTGGGTTAAGGCAAATCATCTCCTTTTACAAAATGTCGGACTTTGAAAATGACAGAAATGTGCAGGAAGTTAAATAAGACTTTTATATAAGCATGCCTTTAACAATGTTAATTAAAAACACTTATGGTTTAAATAATGCTCTTGAAGATCTAGTTTGTGAGATCCTTCTATGAAAGGTCAGGAGGTTACTCAGAAATTAAGTATGGGTTTTCAGGCCTGGTTGTATTTTATAAAGTTTTTTCTGAAGTGCCAAATGACATTGAAAGTTCAGATGGCTTGAATGTTCACTTTCAAAGAGATGGAAAATAATACTAGTTGATTTGATTCAATATTGTCTGGATTCATTGAATTACATATATTATCTTGGCATAATATCTGTAATTGTAGCCAAATAGTCTGTCGAGAGAAAATAGTTGTTTATGAATGTTTTCTTAAAATTGCTTCATGGCTTTTAAGTATTTTCTCAGGACTAAATAAACAGTAAGTGTTAAGACAGAGCTAAGGCTTTAAAGCGTCATTAGAAGATTATTCATACTTTCACAGACAATCATTTCTGCCAACATTAAATTTTAACTGACCTCTTTTTGACACTTCCTCTATATCCATCAACAGTCTTTA